TAACTTAGTTGTACTGGTGTGTATATAGATGTTACTTAGTTGTTTTGGTGGGTACTTACATGTAACTTAGTTGTACTGGTGTGTATATAGATGTTACTTAGTTGTTTTGGTGGGTACTTACATGTAACTTAGTTGTACTGGTGTGTATATAGATGTTACTTAGTTGTTTTGGTGGGTACTTACATGTAACTTAGTTGTACTGGTGTGTATATAGATGTTACTTAGTTGTTTTGGTGGGTACTTACATGTAACTTAGTTGTACTGGTGTGTATATAGATGTTACTTAGTTGTTTTGGTGGGTACTTACATGTAACTTAGTTGTACTGGTGTGTATATAGATGTTACTTAGTTGTTTTGGTGGGTACTTACATGTAACTTAGTTGTACTGGTGTGTATATAGATGTTACTTAGTTGTTTTGGTGGGTACTTACATGTAACTTAGTTGTACTGGTGTGTATATAGATGTTACTTAGTTGTTTTGGTGGGTACTTACATGTAACTTAGTTGTACTGGTGTGTATATAGATGTTACTTAGTTGTTTTGGTGGGTACTTACATGTAACTTAGTTGTACTGGTGTGTATATAGATGTTACTTAGTTGTTTTGGTGGGTACTTACATGTAACTTAGTTGTACTGGTGTGTATATAGATGTTACTTAGTTGTTTTGGTGGGTACTTACATGTAACTTAGTTGTACTGGTGTGTATATAGATGTTACTTAGTTGTTTTGGTGGGTACTTACATGTAACTTAGTTGTACTGGTGTGTATATAGATGTTACTTAGTTGTTTTGGTGGGTACTTACATGTAACTTAGTTGTACTGGTGTGTATATAGATGTTACTTAGTTGTTTTGGTGGGTACTTACATGTAACTTAGTTGTACTGGTGTGTATATAGATGTTACTTAGTTGTTTTGGTGGGTACTTACATGTAACTTAGTTGTACTGGTGTGTATATAGATGTTACTTAGTTGTTTTGGTGGGTACTTACATGTAACTTAGTTGTACTGGTGTGTATATAGATGTTACTTAGTTGTTTTGGTGGGTACTTACATGTAACTTAGTTGTACTGGTGTGTATATAGATGTTACTTAGTTGTTTTGGTGGGTACTTACATGTAACTTAGTTGTACTGGTGTGTATATAGATGTTACTTAGTTGTTTTGCTAGGTACTTACATGTAACTTAGTTGTACTGGTGTGTATATAGATGTTACTTAGTTGTTTTGGTGGGTACTGACATGTAACCTAGTTGTACTGGTGTGTATATAGATGTTACTTAGTTGTTTTGGTGGATACTTACAAGTAACTTAGTTGTACTGGTGTGTATCTAGATGTTACTTAGTTGTTTTGCTAGGAACTTACATGTAACTTAGTTGTACAGGTGTGTATATAGATGTTACTTAATTGTTTTGGTGGATACTTACATGTAACTTAGTTGTATTGGTGTGCACATACATATTACTACTGGTGTGTATATAGATGTTACTTAGTTGTTTTGGTGGGTACTTACTTGTAACTTAGTTGTACTGGTGTGCACATACATATTACTACATTGCACTGGTATGTACTGGGGTCTACATGCATGTACCTAAGTTGTACAGTTTGGACGTCTGAAACGTGGACAATCAAAACGAAGGAATTCAACATTTTCTTATTTTGCATGATATATTTTCACGATTCGTGTTTCCGGATTCACTGAAAAGGAAGACGACAATAGAAATTGCAATGGGTTTGAACGCTATATTTTCCCAAGGGGAGACAATACCTGACCATAAGATACGATAAGGAAAAAGGCACGGAAAAGAAAACCGTTTGGAAAATTAGACAAGATACAGAGGTCCACTTGGCAACACCTGCACGTCCATTTCTGAGAGACTACGAAGTTCAAGTGTCGTTCCAGTGGCGTGGCAACACTAGCCCGACACATTATACTCTTGGATATAAAAGTCGATTTACAAACAGTCTAACAAAGCAGTCTGTTTTGAGAATAGCATACGAATTGAAATCTATTGACAGTCTATATCTAACGAGCCTCAGGATTCCGGGGTTTATTATTCACGACCATTAATGTCGATCTGTAAACATAGGTCTGTTGGCCTGTCAGAAATAACAAAAAAACATTTAAATGTAACGCCAGTCACTAGCAAGGTACTGTTTGTTTAATTTGTATGGCAATACCATTGTTGGATAGCAAATATTGATCCTGCTTTTATGTAGACGGGTTTGCTTGGCGAATGAAGGTTATAAGGTGTTTTAGTCCCCGTAGTCTCCTTGAATATGGAAACAGAGCGTGACAGACAAATTTAGACTGACAAACTTACAGTTATCGCACAACCTGCCGACCTATCTTTATTGACAGCTTTACCTCATCTAGTCACAGCTTTGCCTAATCAAGTCGCCTTAGAAAAGATATACTTTTGGATTTTGACCCGTATCCTCACTCATTTAGTACAGAAGATGCACCAATCAAATATTGATACCCAGTCAGTGTAGCGAGTACCTGAACTTACGGAGATCGAGATTTTATGCAAAAGGGAAATTGTATTAACCAAGACGGTAGTGACATAAACCCTCCTGACGCTGCTACATGGTCACACGTTGTGGTGGCGTATAGACATGACCTTGCCCCAAATAGTCATGAAAGGATCCCTGTACGTTTATGGGTGTATGACCTCAATAAATGCCTCCAGAGACATTGAAAGAGTTCAATGGACAAGAGCTCGTTCTAAAGAAATACGAGACATGTGTAACCCCTCAGAAACCTACGATGAATGAAACTAAAATAGAAGGTAAAGACAGCAAATAAACCACAAGGACACAGAGTGCTTAATTAAGGACTGAGAGCACTTCACCGACCTGATCCTTTTATCGTGAACACTGAGCGTAAATCATTCCTTTCTGAAACCTCCCCCATTCATCATGGTAAAGAATAGATAAAAAAAACCCGTATGACCGATACTCCTTAAGGCGAACTTGTAGCAAAGAAATGGAAGAATAACAATTCGTACATCATTTCATACGGAATGTACTTCAGAACCAAGCTTACTGTCACGGTTTGGTTAAAGACAACTTACAAAAATATATGTTTTCATAATTTAATATATATCCAACCTGACTAAGGTAGATAATTTTTGTGCAGATAGAATATTGAGATACTGTTTAATCAATTTACATAATGATATATGACGATGAAGAAAAACGTTTGGAGGAACTGAAAAAAATATGCTATATGTATGGAAATTAACAATGCTTGTTTTCACAGGTATACATCAGTCATATATATTTGAACAAAATGTGAAACGTTATTTATAGGACAAAAGGAAGATTTATCCCGAAAACTATTTGTTCGCGTTTTCTCAATTTCCTTTAGTAAGTAAATTGAAACTGAAATATTTGTTGGCACGAAAACGAGTCGTAGACAATGTTTTGTAAAAAGGAGAAATGACACTTTACCATATAAATTTCTCCAATCTGCATTACTCTTTATTGTTCAGACATACAAGACCTATAGTGCCTTTTACAAAAATATATACCGAAAATACACTGATACCATAAATATACCAGATGCAAACAATCACTACAAAAAATTGTCATTTTTATCAAAGACATATCGTAAATATTATCTCGAGGTTTCTTCAATAGCCACAAGCCAAAACGTAAAAAGTGCTCAATTGTATCATTTATTTCACTGAGAGGAATAGTACGTGCATATGATATATTTTCAATGTTAATTTGTAACCAACAAGGTTGCCCAATGACATTGTCCAGCTACAATTGTCCTGCTTTTATAAGATCTTAATAGAAATCCAATGATTAGATTTCCGTTTAACAGTCAACTGAAGAGTTCAACGGTATGATTGGATATGTGAACCTCTTGTAAGGTATCTTATGATTATGAAGGCATTTTGTAACTCTTATTATGATATTGTAGATAAATCGGTTTTGTACCTTCTATATCACCAAATACATTAAAAAACGAGAGATCAAATTATGATACTTTCATTTAGTCACTAACTGCCGTAAAATCATTATTGAAGTCACCGTAATTTCCTTTTAAACCATATTATTTCGATAACAATGGTTTTATTTGCAGTGGTTCTTCATTCTTATACTACATTGGTGATTTTAGTTATATTTTTTGGCTCTATGTTCGTACCAAGCTGAAATACATCATTCCAAAATGTTCTTTAAAATTGATTTAATTTTATGTGTTTATCCTATCAATTCTCCTAAAGCATCTATTTTCCCGAGATTCAGTGGAAGAAATTTGTTTACCATTTGAATTTTTAATGAAAATTTACTTTATTAAGTGTAACGCTATTGTACCAGAAGTGTAAAATAAAACTTTCATCTGGAATTTTGTAGGAAATTAAAAAGATGATTCCTTGTAAGATTATTATTAAAGAAATATTTGGCTTATTTTATTAGTAATTCTCTTATTGTTTTATCAAATTTGTTTAAGAATCAAATTTATAATACCCCATGTGATCGGGAAGAAACCCTCATGAGTATATTTTACAGCCTTTCCAGATGACTCGGATTTTACCAATATTTATTTTTATCCCTAGAAGTCTCCGCATAAATATCAAGTTTTTCCACATGTGATCAATCTTATATATATTTCTGATACATCAGTTTTATTTTCTTTCGTATGACGGAGTGTACCGATACTTTCACCCTTGGTTCGGACACGTGAAAACTATTGAAGGTTATTCTGCCAAGCCCTTGAAATCTCTATATATGGTCTTTTACAGGAAACCGTTATATATCCTCGATTGAAATCCCCTTTACACCTAGCAACAGTTTTGTTAATACTTTAAACATTTTCTGGCTGTCGTATTATTGATATTCCTTTCAGAAAATTGCTTATAAGACATCCATAGGTAGCGACTCATACAGCTACAGAACAAACCACTCGGTAAAAGTACAAAAAGAAAACAAAAATCATGACATTACAGCTATCTTTAAATGTTATTAACATACAATTTTATTTTTTTCCAGATCCCTCGCTCTGTAGCCAGGATTGTAATGTGGTACAAGTGAAACGTCTTGATTACAACTATCGACTAGGCGTGATACAGACATACAGTAGCAATATGTTCCAGCTACCCACAACCAAACTGAAGGTCTTCGTTGGCTTAATTATCAGTGTACTAGTTCTAGTAATGTACGTACTCGCATTAACGATCGCCAAGTCGCCAAATTGCGACACTTTTTCAGATTTGGCGACAATTTGTTTTTGTATCAATTCAATCAACATCTTAAAAAATCTACATCATCGACTACATCTACACCATCAGCATCATCATAATCATCATCGTCTTATAAATCATCATCCTTCACATCTTTTTTCTTAAAATCAACATGAACGACTACATTAAGTATTAACCATCTTTAACATGAATGATTGTACAAACAAAACATGAACATAGTACGATTGAGTAACACAACATTAGGTAAAACAAAGTTATAAGTTAAACAATCCTTCGTTTGTTAGCTTCATTTATAAATTTACCTAGCAAATTCAGTTCTTTTACATTGTGTGATTTAGTAATTCGTTAAGCTTCAATACAGATGATTTTTTCCAATAATAATTTTGATATGGTTTCTCCTTAGATTGTGATGACGCGGACAGGTAAATAGAAAATGAAATTCATCTTCTATCTCTATAAGGTCACAGTAACTGCAATATCTAGTATTCCTTGCAATATTCCTGTACCTTCCTGATTCTATTGAAATATTGTGAGCTGACATACGTAATTTAGATATTATTATTCGACGTTGTTTTGATATAAACTTTGTTAAATAATATTACAACATCAAGGTATCTAACATATATCTATAGAAATGACATCTACTTGAGATGGCCAACGAGTTGAATAAAGTTTGCTTTGCCTGATCATCTATGCGCTGTTTAATAATATGTAATAGACAGATGTCGGTAGCTGCCTGCCTTATCCATATATATTCAAACCCTAGTTCAAATAAGTAATGCTTAATGAATAATAACCAATTTTGTTTCGGGTTTTCCCTCCAAGTTTCTTTTAATAAAACCTTATATGCTTATTCCAGAATACAATTTTCTCGAT